TGAACGAGGAGATATAAGCACGAAGTATCAGAATCAAACAACGAAATAGCAGATAAATATATGAAGGAGACGAAGAAAATAAAGAAAAATGTGGAAGGAAAATAGGAAAATCAAAGAATAATGAGGGAGAGAAGAGAGACGGAAAAAGAGTAGAAAAGAAGCTGGAGGGGGAAATATGAAGAATAAATGGAGAAAGTAAAAAGAGTCAAGTGGTCATTAAGAAAAATAAGTGTAATGAAAGAAGGAAAGAAAACGAGAAGAAAGTGAATGAAGAAATGAAATAAATGAAAGAAACTGGAAAATAGGGAGTGAGATAGGGGTCAAAATAGAATAAAGAAAGTTGGGGCTCGAAAGAAGACATTTTAAAAGAAGAAGGTTGACAAGAGGAAAAGAAAGAAAATACGGGAGCGTAAAAAAGGATCAGGCGAAATACGAAATACAAGACAAAGGAAAAAGTAAAAAAAAAATGTAGGGGTGGGGGAGAAAAAAAAGAAGTAAAATAGACAAACAGGAAACGTTAGCTATGGAAAAAATCATGATCAAGACGAAGAGGCAAAAACAGAAACAATAGAATTAGAAAGAAATGTTTGTCTGCCTCAGATGATTACATAAAACCCTCCAGTACCAGATCGCAATTGATGGGCCGTTAGTGTTACGGATATCGGCTAGGAATCTGGGATCAAGGAACCAAATTCAAATTCTAACCAAGTCTGATGCGTTCACCTTAGATCAACTGCCCTTAAGAAAGTCTCAAATCTCTATCCTCTCTCTATATATCTCTTCTCTCTCTTCTCCCTCTTCTCTCTATGTCTCTCTTTTCTCTCTCACTATCTCTCCTCTCTCTATATATCTCTCTCTTCTCTGTCTATCTTCTCTCTCTGCTCTCTCTATCTCTCTCTTCTCTCTCTCTATATATATATCTATATCTCTCTCTTCTCTCTCTCTCTATCTCTTCTCGCACTCTATCTTTTCTCTCTATATATATATCTCTTCTCTCTCTCTCTCTCTTCTCTCTCTCTATCTCTCTTCTCCCTTTCTCTCTCTCTATATATATATTCTCTCTCTATCTCTTCTCGCACTCTATCTCTTCTCTCTATATATCTCTCTCTTCTCTCTCTATCTCTTCTCTCTCTTCTTTCTCTCTATCTCTCTCTCTCTCTCTCTATATATATATATGCATATATTCTCTCCATCTCTTCTCAATCTCTATCTCTTCTCTCTATATATATTTTTCTCTCTCTATCTATATCTCTCTCTTCTCTCTCTATCTCTTCTCTCTCTCTCTCTCTCTCTCTATATATATATATATATATATATATATATATATATATATACTCTCTCTATCTCTTCTCTCACTTCTCTTTCTCTATCTCTCTCTTGTTTCTCTCTATCTCTATCTCTCTTCTCTCTATATATATATATCTCTTCTCTCTCTCACTATCACTCTCTTCTCTCTCTTCTTCACAAGCTACGATTTAAATAGCAGGTTAAACATAACTCTCTAGACTTAGACAATTGGTTGGTTGATTTTGTTTAACGGCATAGCAACACACCTATGGGTTATTTGATGCCAAAATCTAAATAATTTGAACATATTTATGGCTTCGACTAAATATCTTTTGAACGCAACTTTATGCCTTCAACCACAGATAAAATATATTTCTGGTCATGCTGCTTTAAAATGTATTCTTGCTAATTTTACTACAAATACGTATTGTTGCTATTTTCTGTACTATAAAAATTTATTTGTATATTTTCATCATGCTTTCTTTAGGGTTTCACTATTTGCCCACAGCTGAGACCCTAACAGGTGCTGCCACCCCGGCTCAAGACTGGACTTAAACGGTGACTAGTTTAAGAGAAGGTAAAATCTGAATTTCAAAGTGTGAAGATGGCAAGGAGAAACAATTCCAAGAAAACCTGACAATTCACAATCAATAAATTAAAAGGAATCGATGGAAAATCATGGCCGTTTATCTTCTAAAGATGATAACGAAAAGGAAAAGCAGAAGTCGGTGTTCGAGTGCTGGCAAAATCCAGTGTTTCTAATCCCGATTGTAGGACATATCCATTTGGAAGATATGAAAAAAAAATAACAATCTTCCCGTTTTTATTTGCATTCGCACTGCGTTCATAATTGGCGCGTAGCAAAATTGGTTACAACGTTCGCCTTCTGATCATAAAACCCTGTGCAAAATACCACCATGTTCAGATTTTCAGGAAGGTAACATTTTGGTGTCATCAAGTGAACCCTGCATGCGGTGCCATTGCAACGTAATTAAAAATCAAGGGATTTCTCAAAGATGAGACAGACACAATTGTTTGATATCAGCCAATGCTTGTGCTAACACGGATACACATGTTTTGTACAGATATTATTGAAAAATATTTTTATTGTAATTTTTCGGATGAAATCTCGGCTATGGGACGTAGACTTTATGACTATAAACGCAGTACTAGCCTAGCGGTGAGATCTCATTAATTTACAGTTGAGCAGGCTAGATGTAAGCGTAAATTCGATGCTAACAGTTTTTTTCTCTCACTACTCGCTTGTGGAAATTCCTTCCAGCCCCGTGCTTTCCAGCCAACTTTAATCTGCAAAAATTCAAATTTAATGTCAATCGCTATCTACTGTTCTTCGGCTTATTCTTTTCTCTTCCCGCTCATTGGTAATTTTTCTCTTCCTAATTCTTCCACACCCAGTAACCCTTTGTGTCTTAATGTCTTTAAGGCCTTGCTTGGGGTGATACCGATTTAAAAAAATAAAAAATAAATAAAAAAAATAAATAAAAATGTAAATAAGGTCTGCTCAGCATAGTTGCAGTATAAACTACAGGTGGCTTTTCTGGATGGTAAAGAAACATAAATATGCCTGAGCAGGAGTTTGCAATAGGGATTGGCTAGTCGCCATAGCAGATGAATGCGCTCGTAAACGAGTAGCCTGTTATTATTATTACTGTGATTAGTAAAAAAAAAAAAAAAAAAAACACTGGTTAGTAACTAGATGGGTGAAAAGGTACTGTAAGCTTAGATGTGCAGTTGGTGTAACGGCTAATCGCTCGAAAATTGGCAATGGGAAAGCGGAGTACTAATTCCAGTCGGGTTCGTTATATTGTCTTACGCGAAAATACACTTGCGAAAGATATGAATCCACCTATTCTGTCCTCCCACACCAATCGGTTAATTAGTAAAACCTGTATCACTAAATCGTTTTTATCTCAAAAAAAAAAAAAATCTTACAATCAAAAAATTATTTTCTGGCTTTAAATAACCTTAAGGTTTAAGGTTGATAAGCCGTAAAAAACGTAAGAATCAATAAAAAAAGCCACCACCCGAATGCCGATTTTCCATCACTCTTGCAACCAAAAAAAATATAGAACAATAAATATTAATTTTAGAAGGTAGTAGGGACTTACATTGAAATTTGGCGCAATATATTCTTACTGAGTCTGTCTATATTTCTGAGATGAGACATTATGTACATTATTAGGACTATTGTCCGAATCTTTGTTGCCATATTTATCACAACGAATTTCGAACTGAACCCTTTATTTCGCTCACTGGGGTAGACTGTTCTAGTTCCACGTGCCATGTTTGATGGATGTCAGTTATCAGTTATCTCCTGTTAATTCCCCTCTCCAAATTCTCTACTGCCTTAACCAGGTATTAAACTCACACTCTTTGTGTCTTGTCAATGGATCTAACCAACGCCTTTATCCACTGTGCCATGAGGACATCTGGGTTTGAAATTCTGGGTATTATAAACCTAATGTCTTCGGCAACCATTTTTACCAGTGCTCATAATTTAATTTTGCTGTTATCATTCCATTTTTACCAGGGCTCATATTGCAACTTTTTGTTGTTATCATTGCTTTTCTCTGGCACTCCTTATTACTGTTTCCCATATTGTATTTATTTTTATGCTTGGTCGGTTCAGGAGATTTTTGTGGCTTAGCATATGTGCTGATTCCTTAAGTTTACGAATTTTCCAATGGTGTTCCTTGTCTATGATCTCAACATGATCCCACAGAGGGCGGTTAAGGCAGTGGAGAACTTTCAGAGGGAACTTAGCAGGAGATAATTGATAACTGACATCCATCAAAACATGGCACGTGGAACTAGAGCAGTCTACCCCAGTGAGCGAAATAAAGGGTTCAGTTCGAAATTCCGACCACCTGAAGAAGGCCGGAGAATACAACGGCCGAAACGTTGTGATAAATATGGCGACAAAGATGAGGACAATAGTCCGAATAATGTAAATAATGTATATTCTTTCTCTTTTCATATTTTCTAACTTTTTGCTGTATGTGATAGTAAGTTTACTTTAAAAAAGCATTAAAAATAACTTCCGTTCATGGCTGACCACAACATCTTGTCTCTTGTAGCACTAAATAATATTTGACTCTGTATTATCCGTTCCTGTTCATGTCCAATTACACATGCTAGATTAGATATGGTATTCTATGTTTCTCTTTCCTTTTATTGTCAGATTCTCGAAGCCTACTATCATCTTTATGCCTTCTAGTAATATCAACTGTCTTTTTTTGATCGTAAGCAAACGTCTCCTTTTAGATCCGATTTTCATTAAAAGTTCCTCGTTACTCAAATGTTATTCTCATCACCCTTCTCTAGAACCACATTTTCCATTGGCTCAAATCTTCATCTTCATCTTCGAGGAAATTATCCAGCATTCACTGTCATATAGAAGGATTGATATTGTACAGCAATTCAGCGCCATTTTGTTTGTTTCTAACGAAATTTTCTTGTTTCTTAATACTTTACTTGTTCCCAATTCCAGTTCGTTTTCGGGTTCCTCCGCCATGCCTATGCTCTGTTTTTTTTTTTAAATAGTGTATGTTTAAGACATGCTGATATGCCAAAAAATACTGATTTTTAAGGCTAGTAGTTCATTGCTCTCTTGTAGATTGGTGCGAAATAATCTTCCTATACGATTTAGCCATAAGCTTGATAAAGTTTATTAAGAAAACGAAAACATTTTTTTAAGTTATAATAAACACTGGGAAGTGAGGATAAAGACTGGGAATGAAAAAAAATATCGAGAAAAAGAAGAAACATAAAATAAGTATCTGAAGCAGAAAGGAAAATCGAGAGAAAAGATTTTGAAAAAAGGAAAGCGGGAGAAATGTAACAAACAAGCGTAAAAAGAGGAAATTATTATAGAAAAAGAAAATGGAATAAAATGAACGAGTAAAAGAAGAAAGGACAAGAAAGAGAAATAGAAGAAAGAAAAAAACTGGAAGGAAGGAGAAGAAAGAAAAAAGGAAAAAAAAACGGCGGGAAAAGGAAAAAAAGAAGAAAAGAAAAAAGAAAATAGAAAGTACAATTAAAAGAGACGAAAAGACAAGAGTTAAAAAAACTAAAAAACTAAAATGAAAGTTAAAAAAAAATACTACGAAAGCACAATAACAAAACAAGTGTATAACATACAAAACAATGTAAGGTAAACAAAAAAAAGCGTCGAGGAAAAAAAAAATCAATTAAAATGAAGAATGAAACGCTCCAAACTACTTCAACAAAAACAGAAAAAAAAGTGGCTTTTCGACAATTTATACACAGTTCTAACCTCAATAGCTAGCAATTTTATTCAAAAACTGAAAAAAAAAAACAGAATAGGAAAATAAACAAAGACCTTTCCGATTGAAATTAGGAAAAAACATGGTTGGATGACTTCTTGCTGCCTAAATATTGTATGTATAGCTGGCTCGAGGCTACTAGGGCAACTAGGAGATCCCTATTGCAGACGCTTGCTCAGGTGCATTTGTGTTTATTCAACACCCACAGAGCCCACCTCTCGTTTACACTGCTACTATGCTGAGCAGAACTTAGTTACATCTTCTGTGTTATCTAGCGTGATCAACGATTTGAAAAATCTACTTGTGACTTCGTGTTAGCACAGCTATCGACGGCACCTTTCCAAAGGTGCTGCACACTGGGATCGGCCCCTCCAGCCAGATAACATCAGGAAGTCATGACAAATCGACCTTGGTGAGATTCGAACCCAGGTCTCAAGGCTAGAATCCGAACGTTTTAACCACTCCGATATATATATATATATATATATATATATATATATATTTTAATTAAACGTACCGTTATTTATTTTTATTTTTAAACAGTCTGTGGGTCGATAAATTCGATAAATCTTAATAAAGTCTATGTGAATTCCCATTTGTAGGAGAAATCATCGTTTAATCCGGTGTGCTTTATCACTCGGCTACGAAGAGCTTCACAGTTCGACAAGACTCATTTTTCATGGTTAAAGAAAGGTTAATCACCAACACATTTTTCTCGAAAGTCCATATCTGCTCTGTTTCCTACCAGAAACGTGAACAAAGAAATTTCTTAAGAAACTATGAATATAATTTTAATCTGACATTTTTTATTACTTCAAACGTAAGTTGATACGCGTCTTTGAAATACATGGCCTATTTTTATTTTTACGTTTAAACAGTCTGTATTTCGTATATATATATATATATATATATATATATATATATATATATCTTTTACGCATATAAATGTGCACAGTTTTAAATTATATTAACAAAACTTTTGATATACATAAAAAGCATATATTTAGTTAGCTATCGACATACAACCAGCTTCGTATACAGTATTTTTTTCAAAATGGTCGGTATATATATATATATATATATATATATATATATATATATAATGGAATATGCGTACACCTGTGTTCCCCTTCACTGGAATATGATTGGTGTCAGTCATAAATACCGACGGACGTGTAGGTACGAGTGTCAAGAGCCTTAGTCTGAGAGCTAAGTCTATAACGACGCCCATTGGACTACGCCATTGATCTATACATCTTACCTGCGACTACGACGCGTACCAGTCGATGACTGCTACCGTATTCTACGTGGTTATAGTAGCCAAAACCACTTAGCTACTTCGTTCAAATATATCCCTTTCCGGGACATATCATATATATATATAGAGAGAGAGAGAGAAAGAGAGAGAGAGAGACAGAGAGAGAGAGAGACAGACAGAGAGAAAGAGAAAGAGAGAGAGAATACAGCTATGAAAAAAGAGCTCTGAGTGTTATTGAAAAAAGAAGGGAATCAATTATCAAACTTATACTTTGAGAAACTTTAGCATCGAATGTCAAAAATTCGTGCTGCATTAATGAAGGCTAAAGGAGGACATTTTGACGAGAGCAAAATTTATTCCTAAAATATTTGTTTCTTTTTGTCATATTAAAATTTCTAAAATAATGCTAATATATGGAGATAATAGGATGTGAAGATTTCACTTAATATTTCCATAACATTTACTCTCTCTCACTCTTCAAATGTCCGACGTATAACTGATTCTAATTTCTAAATTCACTTACTCTTTACCTATATTAATTATAATTTATAAACTTCGCCATACTTTAAGTTCTTCCCAACTCTCTTTCCATTAATCCCTTACATCCTTTTATCTAAATATTTTAAAGTTACTTATAAAACCCTTTTTATTCCTTTTTTAAATTTAAATTAATATTTCATTATTCATCTAACCCCAAATTAATGCGATAAACTTAATATTCTGGTTTAATTTTATAAAACTTTTTCCTTTAAGACAAATACCTTCCACCCTTTCCTGACCCCTCACTCGTGCCTTTTGTCTGACTGAAACATTGAAATGGATAAATTCTGAATTAGTTTTTCGACTGGTGTTTTTTTTTTTTCAGGCTTTCACAGTTAAATATATCTTTATAACACAAACTCACCCAAACCGGGCTTTATAAGTGTTGTATATGGCGAAACGAATTTTTTTTTCTTAAAAATTTTTTTTTTTCGTATGAATTTCGAATCCTGGTCGCCAAAGTTGTTATAGAGTGAACGAAAAATTTTTCTTTTCTCCGCATGAGTAACGAATCCCTCGTTGCCAATGTGTTGTAGAGTCGTTTTCAGAGTGGAGGCTTGTATTTCACTAAGTCGGTCCTAAATTAGGTTCGACGTAAAAAAACGTTAGGAACTTGTTATAATAGTTAAATGACGCAGCAATCTAGTTGTAGTGGTTGATACTTTAAGGTCCGACATCGACTGACTCACCAACTCATTCTGAGTCCCCTGGCGACTCTTACTACTACTACTACTACTACTACTACTACTTATTATCTATTAACAATAGAATAGGTATGTTCCGGTATAACAATAAGACAGACGACCGATATCTTCGTCTGCCGAAATAGGCTATTCCATATATGACGTGATTTTTCGATTTCACGGTTTATCATATATATATATATATATATATATATATATATATATATATATATATATGAGAAAGATGCATATATATGGTTGGAGTGTAATTTAAGCTCTAGAGAGAGTTAACATGTCTCTTTCTAGATGCACAAAAACAAATAAAGGACACATACATACATTCATATATATATATATATATATATATATATA